AGGGAAAAATTTGCCGAAAAGAATCCTTATTGTTGGCTTAATGAAACTTTGGGGTCGGCCAAACTTGGCCAACTCCGCTCTCTTGTCGCGAAACTTCATCGGAGCTACGTATACGTCATATAGTCCCCTCTATCTGTTTTCCACCATCGCCAAAGAGGGAGGATAGATATTATATACAGGAGTTAACTGGCGAGTGAGACAGTGGCGCAAAAAGAAGGGAAAAAAAGGGCAAAGTAGGAGAGGAGGGGAAAAACACACAATGAATGCCCTTGCACGATCGCTCCCCCCTCCCTTCCTTGGGAGTGATCATGCGAACGGGGCTGCCGGTGTGTGTACGGGCGGGTTATAAATTTCGACGGCACGGCCGAAAGTTTTTCGCAACTAAGACGATGAATATTTTAGCTCCTCGCGGCCGGAATCTCGTATAATTGGTGGTTAAATTCAAATTTCAAATATTACGAAAAAGTTGAGCGCCGCCACCGCGCGCCGGGGCTGGGGGGAAAAAGGGGGATTCCCCGAACCCCCAACAGAAACTCTTTCTTCGTCTTCTTCTTGTCTCTGATGAAGGTTATTTTTGGCGGAGGGAGGCGTTCTTTTATGCGTTGCGTGACGAAGCTTTTGTACGCGTTTATAGTACCACTGGACAGGGGAAGAAGTTGCAGTCGCACGTAGCACAGTGTTAAATTGCTAACCCCACCTATATACCGCGGCAGGCTCGACCGCGTGGTCATCATTATGCGCGGGTGAAATTATTTTCGTTCTGCCTTTTTTTTTGTTTTACTGCGTAAAATTGCTCTGTTGCTTAGAGGGAGGGTCTGCAGTCTGCACGCGAAGCAGTACTTTTGTCTTTGGGTGCATATTTATCCCACATTTTTATGGTGGAATTTCAAAAGGGAGCCGCACCATCGGTGGATAAAAAAATATTTTCACAGATTCTTCGTTTGTAGTAGTGTTTGCCAATTTGAAAAAGGTTGGGCTTGAGGTTGCAATCAATCATCTATAAAATTGCACTGCACCAGGCTTTTATCTAGTCCCTTTCCTCATACCAGCATCTGATGATAAAACACTTCTAATCACAATTTCTGAGGTCATAAGACTCGTTAGGATCGAATATCTTATCTCCATTTTGCTGAGTCCTGTATCTTCCAAGCACTGCCTACCTACTGCAATCGCAAGGCAGCTCAAATAGTTTCCTTCCCAAAGGAAGCACACACTGGACGCATTAAAAAAAAACACCCGTCCTCTTTTCAGAGCCGTTCCGTAACTCACGAGTCGAAAAAAAAGGCTCACGTGCAGGGTCCTCACCACGAATGCATGAGAGCCAGAGAAAGAGAGAGAGAGAAAGGGGGTGTGGAGGGTAAATTCGCGCTTGCAATTGGAACAATGTTTGTATAAATCACCTGTCCCCGATAAATCATCGCCTTTTTTCCATTCAATCGACCGAATCGCACCCACGAGAGACCGAGAGAAATTCCCTCCGTTGCCCCGCACTCACACACACGAATATAATACAACATCCGCGGCACAGATCGCGACGAGGCTCTCTCTCTCTCCCCGATGTCTGCGAGTGTCACATCCTTCCCAAACTCATCCTCCTTCAGCGAATCGAGAAATCGTATATACTACGGGGGTGGGGTGGGGGTGAGAAAATATTCGCGCGAATGGAGAAAAAGAGGAAAATGAGAGTCAGAAGGGGTGAGGGGATGGCTTCAATATGGAAAATTGCTGAATACGAGCCGTAAAACGCAGGCGGCAGCGCCGCGCGTGTGATTTCCCGTTCTCCGTCTCCGTATACTTTGCGAAGCCAATACTGCCGAAGCTCGCGCTGCCTAATGCCGAGTCTCGCGTCGCCCTCGAGAATTGAGACGTTAATGCTCTTCTTTTTTTTTTTTTTTTTTTTTTCTCATACTTTTTTCCCCCGTCCCGTTCCAT